TCCCTATGTTCAATAAAAGAACTTGAAGAAATCAAAGAAAATGAAGTAATATATCATGCTTCAAGATGCTGTATGTTATCTCATTCCAGTATCAAAATTGGACAACTCTGACCCTTTTCCCTTGTCTTCATGCGAAAGCTAGATGTTGACATACCAGTGGTATTTATTTCTAATTGCAGTCTGGAAGGAAAGATAACAGTCTTAAGCAAGGAAAGCTTGCTTTAACTCCTAAAGCTAGGAGTTTTAGAATGGTTATTGAATCCATTAAATTTATTTTAGTAGGTATGTTTATGTGAATTCAGAGTTTTTGATTTGTAGCCCATGTAGAGTGGCTATGGGTTTTTTTTTCTGAAAACCTGCATTGGCATTAGAGTTGTTGGTAAACGTTGTTAAATGGCAATGGCTAAAAGATTTAGAAAGTTACACATGGTGCCATTACTGAGCAAGTAGAATAAAATTCTCCGACAGTCGTAGATTTTTTTTTTTTTTTGCCTGTCAAGGCATTCTGCCTTGTAATCTTTTCTTATGTGCATAACATACAGAGTTAGTTCCTTGTGAGATACTAGTTGCTAGCTGTAGAAATAGGCATTGATACATAATTTTCATATAGCCCTGTAATGAAAGCTTCCAGACTCTTTTTCAGATGCCATTTAGTCCTATAGACATTGAGAGTGAGTTAGTTCCTAAACTAAAATTTCAGGTAGTATTTTTCACCATGTTTTTACTAGAAAAAAAAAAACCAAACCAAAACAAGCCCCCTAACCATGTGGAGTGGCAGAAAGCTGTCTCATTCAGTTTTGATTTTGCACCTAAAGCAAACTGAAAGTCACCTTAATTTTAAGTAAATGAAGTCAGATTCATTTGATCATGGCTTTTAAAAAACTTTTTTCCTATTGTGTTTTTGTCTGTATGTGCAGTTTGGTTCTGTGTTTTACACACACACACACACACACACACCCTCCAGTTTTTTTCTTAGATTTTCTTCCTTTGTCTTATGGGCATATTCAGCAAAATATGAACAGGCTGTGGGTTGGCAAATGCATGGAATAGGAAGATGGTATTAAGTGTATTTTTTAAAAGGGTTTATGAATGGAATAACCAGCAATGTAGGGATATTGATGATATGTAGATAATACATTTAGCTAAGCACACTAAATTTTTATTTTAAAAAATACTGATCTAAAACATGAAATGGGAGAGTTATCAGAATACTTGAATACTACATTAAAACTATGTGGAAGTAGGAAAAATAGTCAGAATTAACTTCTCTGTTTAACATTTCAATTTTAAATTGAGTTTTCATTTAATTCACTAGATTATTTTTTTATTTCTTTTTTTAGTATTACTGATTCGCAGGATGTTATTTTGAAGGTAGATACCTGAGAATAGAGGGGGGAATCGTGTATGCATAAATTTTTAGAAAGATATTTTTGAGTTAAAATTTCCTCTAAGTTGGTGGTGACTAATTGATATTTTTATTTTCTTTTAGGAGAGAAGTCATAAATCTTATCGTCCCCTTACAGTTCTTACGTTTCGCTTGAACTACTTGTTCAGCGAGTTAAATGCAGTTTCTTACCACTTCCTAAATCTGGTCTTTCATGGGGTGGTTTGTGTAGTCTTCCTCAAGGTCTGCAAGCTTTTTCTGGATAACAGGAGCAGCGTAGTGGCATGCTTGCTCTTTGCAGTGCACCCAATACATACTGAAGCGGTACGTATAGCTGTGATGTGCTCAGTTTGTTCAAGCTGTATAGATTAACCCTAAATTTCATGCGTTTTGTATTTGTTTATATATTGTAACTTTAAAAAATGTGATCTTACTTGTACTTACTCTGCCTGTACTTACTTTACCTGTTTACCTTTTACTTTTACTTGTACTTACTTTACTTGTAGAGGTAACAAATTTTAATGCTCAGAGTGGTTTGGTATTCCATGCAGCTACTGCAAAATACTTAAATAAATACTAATTTAGTTGTTAAATAACTTAAGTCTCTGCTGTGAGCATTGGCTTTTATGATGATGGCTACTTTAGCTTACACAGATCTTGATGTTCTGTAATGATTCATCTAGTATCATATTTTGCAAATCCTATGAATACCTCTTAATTAATTTCCAGAATTGCTAAGCACCCCCTCTAGCTAATCACCAAGTCTGTTCTGTCAGCTTTCTTTTACGTCTATCTGTCTTAGCAGCACTTTTTCTAGGATTGTTATTCATATGCTGCATCAAGCTTAGGGCCATTCTGTTTGAACCTTCCATTTTTTAACATATCTGATATAAGAATTTACCTTTCCTTTGATACTGAAGGAGTTTTTCACTGCTATAAAAGCATATATAAGCATTATTTATACAAGCTGTCTGACTATATATTTTTTAATGGTCAACCAGGCTTTCTGTGTTGTGGAGTAAATGGAGTCTTGTGATCGCCATTCATTAGATTTGTTTCAGAAAGAATGATAAAGCAGATCCGTGGAGTTCTCTGCTGTTAGTTCTGCACCACTTAAATTTGCTTGCTTTGATTCTAGTTCACATGTTGCAAAGCCCATTCTCAGACTTTTTTTTCTTACAGTATTAGCTGATTTTCAGAAGACTGAAAATGTTTAAACATTTGTGCTTCTTTGGAGGTGTTATCCCATTTTTAGTTTTGTTTGTTTGGGGATTTTTTTTTAATGTGGGTTTTATTTTTCAGGAGAGGGGGGATGTCTTTTGATGCTGAGAAAATAAAAAGGGTTTGCTCTTACCTTACGTTGGTTTTTTTTTTGGTTCTGATACGTTTGGGTGAAGAGTTCACTTCTCTCGTTCTCTAAAGACTCACATCTCTGTCAGTAGCAATTCAGTAGCCTGTATCTGTGTGTTTTGAGCAAATCTTTGTAGGAATTAAGTTCATGGTGTTTATAAATGCTGCTATTTGAGCTACTAATATGTCCTTCCTAGAGGTTGTTAGTGGCATGTTATAAATAAGTTAAACAGTTAAGCATTTCTGTTTGCTTTTATACTCAAAAGCACAACCCCCCCTAAAATCTTAGGTAGAATATGGATTAAAAATTAATTTGTTAATTTCATTTGGGTTTCTGTTTCTTTGAGAAAACATGCTTTAAATCTCAAAGTTTGGCTTTGCCTCTTTGTAGTAAATATGGTAGTATCTTTACAGCAGCATTAGCAAGTTGCTGGTGACTTACAATAGTGGTTTGTGGCTTGGATCATCCTATGTAAGTTTATTACGTTACTGTGTAAAAAAAATTGATGATTCTTTATCATGCTTGAACTGTTAGCTTCTGTACAAGAGAAGAGGAGCACAGTTGCTTTTAATACTATGCAACAGAATTAACAAAAAGTATTGTACAAATCCTACAAAACAGTGTAATGAAAGCTTATTGTGGAAGGCAATGTATGACAAAATTATGAAGTCCAGTTATGATTGGTAGCAAGTGTGTAATCCGTGATAGTAGCCACATGAGGGCACTCTAAGGTTACATGATTGGTAGAACTTAGTGCTATACATAAAACACTTAGAGACTCTAAGATTTAAGTGCAATTGTAATTGAATTCTCCTGCTGTTGTACTTTGGTACTTAGTGAATAATCAGTTATGAGGTTTTCTTCCTCCTCCCGCCCCATTTTTTTCAATTTGAGCTTTCAGCTTTTGAGAAATAGTTCATTTTAGCCTTTCAGGTGTTTGCATCAAGAGTTCTCTCGAACATGCAATCAAGAGAATTTTGATACTTGAGCACATGTATAAAAGGCAAAACAACTGGAAGTTTCTGTGCATGGAAAAGAGGAGGTAATAATGAGTTGTCTTTTAGAACCAGAGACTTGGATGCTGACTAACCTATTCAGACTTAAGTGAAAACTCCAAAACAGGTCTCATTCCCAGTTTTTGTATAATTTGTTGGTACCTTTTGTATCTTTTATAATTAAAATGTGTCTGACTTGTGTTGTTTCAAATTAGTCTCCTACTCCTGTGCACAAGAGTTTGAAACAGCATATGCAATACATAAACATTTCACACCTTTACCTATCTTATGATAAATAGATTTTTCCTGGAAAAGTTAGCAAAGCAGGATAAATAGAAAATAATTTTCTGCTTGACTTCAGAAAGACACTGGACTCTTGCAGTGGTGATATATCATTTTCTGAGGAAGAATTTTTGAGGAAATGGGTTGAGTAACAGCATCATAGTTTCATTTGTCCTTGTCTTTAGAATTTCAGTTCAGTCTTTCTACCTGCTTTGATGTTCTGGCCAAAGGCATTTTGACCACCTTTACTGCTAGGGGATGTCAGCTAACGTTGTGAATGCTGCAGTTTGCTCTCGAAAGTCCCTTTTGTATCCAGAAATAGCATCTTCCTTTTGTTGGCAGGGGGCTGTGGAGGAACACCAGCACACTTGCTTTACTAATCTCTTTCAACTGATCTCCAGACAGAGTTCACTGTCAATTCTATCTTAATGCTGGACAGTTTTTTGAGATCCAGACCAGGAATCCTTGAAACGAGACATTTTGGATACAGACACGTGTATACTATCTGAAATGTTAACACAAACTCATGTCCTATCAGTTGTGGAACAAGCTTTGTCTGTGCATGATACAGCAAGTCCTTTAGTAAATGTACACTACTCCCAACGGAAGCACCAGAGCATGATTTCCAATTCAGATTGGAATATTTTCTTTACACGATGACCTTGGATATTGAGTTATTTTCTCTTTTTATGCTGTGCTTCATCAATCATTCTTGACCAAGAATGTACCTAGCAGTAAAAACTTCTGGCTGAGTCCGGATGGCTGAAAGTCAGTTTTCAGCATCATCATAACTGAATGGTGAGCTCTGAGGCTTCCTTAGCTAAATATGACTGTCTGCGTTGGGGTAGCATGCCATTTTTCAGCCAACTTACTCATAAAATTTTGAATTAAATCTTAGGCTTTACAGAAGAGGACAAATGAGGAAGAAAGGCAGTCCTAAGTCGTACCGTGGTAGCACAGTGGCTAGTACAGTAATCATTAACATAGTGACCTGTCTTCTATTCCTCTTTGTTGGTTACACCTTAGCATTTTCTGAAAACACCTCATGAAATAGAAATTGATCTGTATTTCACTGAGGTTTTCAAAACAACCTTCTGCCCTATGAATTTTAGCACTTTTCCAAATTTTCATAAGATCTGTTCTTCTGCCTCATTACTAAAAGGGACACTACCTGCAATTTTAATATTGCCAACCAAATTACCATTCAGAAAATTGCCAGACGTGTAGTAAAGCCCAAGTCATTCATTAACTCAGTTGCACAGAGCTTGTTCTCAGTTTATTTGTAACTCTTGACTGCTCAGCTAAGAGCTGCCATAGCACCAGTTAAGGGAATGCTTCTTTCAGATTCAGATCTGTTCAGTCAGCCAGAAAGGTATGAACAAAAATATCTATCATAGTTTCTGTATGCCACTGTCTGCAGGATGTATATGTACAGCAGTCCTTGTCAGGCTTCACTTAAAGCTCCTACTGATAAAAACTAGTTTCTTCCAAGTATTGTGAAAAAGGCAGTTGTTATTGTGCCCAAATTCTGCCTCAAGTGCTATTTTTGGCTGATATTACTAAAGATAGAAGAAAGTACAGTATTTCTCAGTTGTCTCGTTAATGGTGATACTTAGGGGCACATCAGCCACCATACTGTTTTTGAATTGAGTACTGATTGAACTGAAAGGAGCCTTACTGTTCTTTTTTCCCTTGGTTTACAGATCTTGTTTATGCATATTGGATAGTGTATCATACACTATTCTAATGCTAGAATAGTCACTAGAAGACTAATCTTGTTTTTTCTTCTTTTTCTTTCCAGGTAACTGGAGTTGTGGGCAGAGCAGAGCTTCTATCATCTATCTTTTTTCTAGCTGCTTTTCTGTCATATACAAAATCTAAAGGGCCAGATAATACAATTGGTAAGTCATTGACAAACATGTATGTAATCTAATTTCTGTATCACTGATAATAGAGCTCTTAAAATTATAATATGGATGTACTGGTTTTTCAGCAAGTGTGTACAAAAGAACCCTTTAGCCCCAAGATTCCCATGTAATAGTACTTTCTGTTATAAATTGCCTTTTTTTTTTTCTTCAAGACTTAAACACTTTTTCAGTTGTTTCGTTTTGTAACACCTAGAGTAGGTTTCACGGAGTTCTATTAATGCAAGTAAGTACATGTATGCTGAGATGCCTCAGTCAGTCATAAGTAAGCTGCAGAGTTTCAGTGGAGATGTAGGAGGCTTGCATCTTCCAGAGTCAAATTGACCTTGTGAAAATGCGGGACTCCCTATAAAACAGTCCATTTGAAAAAGTGTTCTGGTGAATTAGAAAAGGTTGGGGTTTTTTGTTTTCCTATCATAGGTTAGTCTTTTGCCTTTCATTTAACTTTTTCAATTTAAGGAAGGCAGGTTTTTAAACTAATACATGCCTATTATTTTCTGTAGATTAAAATTTATAGTCTTCCCTTCAATAACAAATGGCATACTGAATAAGTTTATAGGACATACCATGTTCAAGCTTGAAAAGCTAAAGTCTTCCCCTTTTAGGTTAATTTAGTTTATTAAATTTTTTTTTGTTGTAAGATGAAACATTTTCTATAATGTCTTCTTTATTTGCAGTGTGGACTCCAATTGCGGTAACTGTGTTTCTAGTAGCTGTTGCAACGCTGTGTAAAGAACAAGGAATAACAGTGGTGGGGATATGCTGTGTGTATGAAGTATTTATTGCTCAAGGGGTAAGCTGTTGAAAAATAAATTGGATTTCTTCTCAGGAATTCTGTAATGAGATATCAAGTACTTTGAAGTGTCGTATTTCAGCACTGATTTTTATCAGTTCAGGCTAACTCTTTAGTTCTGTTACATTTTTCAGATTTTTTTTTTTTTTACTTAGTTACTGTTTCCATTATGAATCCATGGTTCATGGTGAAGATATCCAGTGACTTCCAAGTTGTCCTTTACATGCCGCACAGAGATGTTACCAAATGTGTTTGGTGAAGAATTGACATGTCTTAATGGAAACCTAAGGTTTTAGTTAACTGCAAAGACTAGCATGTCTTGATTAAAGTCTGAGGTGCATAAAGATGTATGATTATGTGCTTTTAATTCTTATACTAAAAATATAGAGAGTATATAATATACAAATGCATTTCATCACATTCTAATGAATAACCAGATGTTTCGGGGTAATTTTATTTGAATCAGTAGTACTATGAATTTGTTTTTCTAAGAACACCTTTAATATCTAATCTTATAGGTTTCATCTTAAGCATTGATAAGTCTTTAAGTTAATAGTAATTTTTGTTTAGACAAGCAAGATGTTCCTGCAGTGAAATAATTCTTGGCTTTTTAATATGCAATCCATATGCAATTTAAAAATATGATGGCATATTTTAAGAAAAATTTCTAGTTTACTGTTCCTTAATTACTTGAAGAAATATTATTGTAAAAACTGCACCAGTAAAAGCCGAAAGATTGTCTGTCTTGGGGGTACACATTCAAGGCCAGAATACCAAAATTGTATTTTTTGTGCTTACAGAAGAAATACATGTGTTTGTAACTATTGCCTTTGCCAGTCTAGTAAATAAGCATATAATTTTCAAACTGAATTTCTAGGGAAATCACCAGTACATGACCATACTTTTCAATCCATTCTTCCATTTTTTTAGTATCTTTTGATCCTCAATTTAATTCATATTTAACAAGTTTGTGTAAATCAGTTGAGTAGAAAAGATTCCGAGGGCACAGCATGAATAAAAGTTGACCAGTTCTCAGAAACCGATCAATATCTGTCGTTCAGTCAACCAGTATATGCGAAATAATAAATCATCCTCCGCACAAGACATGAAGACAGAAGGAAAGAGTTACACAGGGAGAAAGCTAGGGTATGTAAGATCATAATGTTGATGAGGCAGGGAAAGATGGGTTACTGCAGTAGAGACATAAAATAGAAATTCAGGGCTAGTCAGGGAGTGAATAAGTATTTCTACTGTTCCTAAGGAATTTTGTTTACAGGAGAAGTTTTCAGAGGGGCTGATCATTCTAAAAATTTCATGGTCATAATTGAGTTACAGAAGTCTCTGAAGACAGCACAGTTTTTTTAACTCTGTCAGTGCAGAATGCAGAACTACTTGCATACAAGTTCTGCTATGATAGTGTTAACAATAGAATAATTTTTATTAGAGTGGTGGACTTCTTCTTGCGTTGTCATGAAAGCTTTAAGAACCTGAGTTAAGTCACTGTTGGGAGCAGGCATTTAGAGAAACCTGAGAGAGAGGAAAAAAAAGAAGATTAGGTAGCTCATATTTATCTAACGGATTAGTGAGTACACTGTCTGATTATTGACACTTTTTTTTCTTTTGCAGTACACCTTGCCAGTGTTGTTGGACACAGCTGTACAGATTCTTCAAGGGAAGGGCAGTATTCCTTTCTCTATGCTCCAAACACTGTTGAAGCTCATAGTCCTAATGTTCAGTACGCTGCTGCTTGTAGTTGTCAGAGTCCAAGTTATCCAGTCTCAACTTCCAGTGTTCACAAGGTAATAATAAAGCATCTCTTATTTACAGACACAGATGTGGCTTTAATGGGGTCTGAATGAAATGGCCAAAATACATCAACCTAAGTGGTTTTTTTTATCTTGCTTTAATATTGGTAAGCAATGACTGTACAATACTACTTTTTTTGTGAAATTGATAAATGGTATCTTTCAGTACCTGTTGACAAGAATGTCCAAAATATTGAGGTGTCTGAGCAGGCATTATTTTTTTAAAACTTAAGATTGTTTGTGTGTCTCAGTAATTCAGAAGTTAAATGTTTTATTGTTAAAGTATGTTTTTATTGGCTATCTGTTTAAATCTTGCCTGAATACTCCAAACCTCTTAATAAGTTTTTTTCTCTTCTATATAAAGTATTATACAGTGCTTGAAGATAAGTGCATATGAATAATGTTAGAACTCAAAAACTGAAGTTTATCTTAAAAGCGTGTGAGCAATGTAGAAGTATAAGAATCTAATATTTTCCCTGTATAGTGAGGGAAACTATTAAAAGCATGAACAAAAACCACTGAATCCAACTTTAGGTGTAAATCATTCTGTTTCTTCAAACTTATGTTGATTATATCCCAAACCAGTTTCTTGAACTTAGATGAGGCTCCATCCCACACTGAGATGAATCATCATGGATGGTTCCCAAGATACACACCTGACAAGTACGGGAAGATTAGGATATTGTACATGCCTGTAATTGGTAGTTCTAGCTATGAATCTAAAGTTTGCTGGTTTCTGAGCACAAAGTGCATCAAGAATATATCTTTTTTTTTTTCATTAAAAGCTCTTTTTTTCGCCTTTCTTTTGCCGTAGGTTTGATAACCCAGCTGCTGTTAGTCCCTCCCCAGCAAGACAGCTGACTTTCAACTACCTCCTCCCTGTAAATGCTTGGCTTCTTCTCAACCCCTCAGAATTATGCTGTGACTGGACAATGGGAACTATTCCTCTTGTGGAGTCTTTGTTAGATGTTAGAAATGTTGCCACCCTTACCTTCTTTTGCTTCCTGGGATCTTTGATTGTCTTCAGTCTCCGATATCCTGGGGATTCCTCCAAGACTGTATTGATGGTATGAATGATGCATTGTTTTTGTCCTTTTCTTTAAGAGTGGAAATGGCTCAGGTTGTTTAGTCACATGCCTAATCTACTGTGATGTGTGCTACGTGCATCTCCTTTTGGGCTAGAATGAACACATGAGAAAAGAGGAAAATTGTTCTAGCCACAAAACCATTTAACTGCAGTTAGCTCTGTGACTGTCAGGAATGAGATGGGGAAGAATAGAAAAGAGATGAGAGTAAATGTGCCCCTTGCTGTGTATTTGCAAACTGTATTGCAGACTTTCTCAGGTATTCAGAACTCAACTAGCAAATGGGAGTTTTCAGTAGAACTTAAATATATTTATTTTAAGGATCAGAATGCATTTCCATCCTGCAAGCTGTCTACCTTATTTATATGTCAGTAGTTGTGCTTTTAATGTACTTCTTTAATATGTAGCTCAGCCAACAAAAGTTTCAGATGGGTGGGAATATTTATGCATAACTTAAGTCTAAGGATTTCTTTGCTAATCAGCTGACAAACTTGGATTGAAAGAGACCTTACATATTATAGTTCTGACTCATATGGTTTTTCTTGTCACTGGAGCAAGGCAATTTGTTTCACTAGAAAATCTGAGAAAATTATCTGTAGTATTGCTGATGAAGCCTTTTGTCCTGAATTTGAAAACTATGTGTGAAGAAAAACAACTTAGATATGTTTTTGATATAACAAATGTACAAGGTGGCATACCCAGGAAAAAAAAAATTATCCTTTTACAGCACGTAAAAAATGTAAAGGAGTATCTTAATCTCCCCTCTTACATAAGCTGAAACAATTTTTCTCCAGTGCACTGATAGCAGTAGAAGTGTGTGTGGAGAGTAGTTCATTTCTTTTCATAGGACATCTCCTGAACTTTAAGGCTCTATTTACCTTACATTTCTGGTACTCCCTACCCAGTAAAGCTCAGAAGAGGAAAGGGTTAATGGAATTATCAGCATACAGTGTTGTATGTAATTTAGTTTTTGTTTGAGGGTATTTTTTGTTTGTTTTTATTATTCTAAGTGTTTATTATAGGAAGGTTCTTTCTGAGATGTTCACTCTATCCTGCAAGCCTCAATATCACTTGATACAGTCTAATCCTTGTTTAACAAAAGTTTTTTCCTTTAATATATACCTATGTTGTGTCTATAACCTTCAGTATAATTCTGATTTTTGTCAGATAAGTGCCTGGAAGCTAATTTCTTAGGAAATGAGAATGCAATATTTTACATTAGAAATTAATTGTTATGTATTATAACATGCAACAACACTGTAAGCCAAGGCCTATTTCTGCCTTCCAGTAAGCCATTAATGTCCTAATGTAGACTGAATAGACTCCCAAGGGAGAGAAGGGGAGAGAACAATTTGTCTGACTTCTTAATCTGACTTAATAGAGAAATCATAGTGCCATCTTTAAAAGGAAAAAAGTGAACCTTTACTTAGTGATACCAATTTACACAGATTATGGCAATGTTCCAGGTAATTGTGTTGAATTACTAGTTTTAAAAAAAGCGTTTTTCCATGCTTGGTTCTCAGTTCTGCCAGTAAAAGCCTGAATTTGTGCTGGTCAAAATAAACTACTGCCCTGGCAGGTATGAATTCTATGTGCTATTCATATGCATGCCACGTAGTACTAGTATAATGGTTGCTTTATCACAGTTGGTACCATGGTTGACTGCACTGTTTGATGTTTCTCACTCTTGAGTGCCACTCCAAAGGGATAATAAAGCGCTTTGTAAAGAGCTTCTGCCATTACAAACCTCTAGCACATTTTGGCTCTTCCAGTACCTCAGTGAGACCCTGAGGTGTTATGCTGAAAGCCTGACCTAAGGGAAAAGTCTTAAGTTACTTTTGTTTATGAGATCAGAAAAGGTACAACTTTAGACCTGCTGGAGATACAAAGATATTCATGTGGACTTTTGAAGAATGAAAAAAAAAAAGGCAAAAGTGAGGGATCCAAAATGGAAGAGAGAAGGGCAGTCGCAAATGTGTCTGAACATGTCTTTCTGTATTTGCTGATGTGGATTTGGTGCTGTACTGCTTGAGGGACAAGGCAGAAGAAGGGATGCTTTCTCCCACTTCATAGAATGCATGGGGTTCAGTGCCAGTGGACAGACTAAAATTCTCCCCCAACACAGTCTCAAAGGATGAACACAGAAGATGCAAAGTTGAAGGGCTCATTTTCAGTTGGTTTTCATATGTTTGATACCAGTCCAACTTCAGGAAAAATAACTCTGGTAAGTGGGTACACTGTGTTTCATTTTGCCTTATTTTAACTTTTGCCATAGGTTCTGAAATTGTATTTTCAAAATAACAGGACTGAGAGATGACAAAACAATTTTTTTGGGTGAGGTTTCTTGTTTGTTTGTTTTGCTTTTTGATGGGGGGTTGTTTTTGTTTTGGGGTTTTTTTTACTAGTTGATCATATTAAACTAGCAAAAAATTGGATTGTATATTATAAATCAGAACATGTGCTTTGGCAGGTTGATGCCCTTACGCTGCTTAATCAATTATTCCAGGACATGCCCTGGAAACAGTGTATAAGCAGTTAAATTATCTTGTATTTTCTGTATACTTTATCTCTGTGAACAGTCAGATAACTTAACTGTCAGATCTAAAGGACCTTTATACATCAGTTACAGTGTACATACTGAAAATGTTGAGCACTAAGAGTAGTACTGGTCTAGAATTACTTTGGTGGTTTTTCAGTAGGTTTCAGAATCCAGCTGTCATCTTAGTCCTTGTTTGTTCATGGAATTTCTTAGGTATAGACTTTCCTTTGTTGGTTGGCAAAATGTAACAGAAACTTTTTAGTATCTTTTGATATCTGCTATAAGTGTCCCATTCGAGAGTGCTTTACTTCCCTTCTGGTAAGACAGCATTCCACGCTACTCAGCTGCAAACTTTGCTGACTTGTTACTATGCAGATGTCAGGAACCAGCGGGTATCCTTAGGCTTCTTAGAGCAAGTTTGTAACACTTTTAGGTGTCGTGTTGAGACATCAGTGCTTCTAAATTTAACAATAGTTATTTCTCTACTCCCTGTGCTCACAGCTCGCTCAGGCTTTGAAATGTTTCCTTCTGAACTTTTGACTGGTTATTTAGCAGTTCAGATACTCATTATAGCTTATGGTCATATTTTAGAATTTTGTCATACTGGTTTTTTCTTGTTTCATACTTTAAAGTTTTTTGTCTTTTTTTTTTTTTTTCAGTTGTCCCGACCAGGATATTTTTTGAATAGATCCTCTTCATCTCCCGAAAGACTATGATAAAAAGAATAAAATAATAGAAAAGAATGCATTTTTATCTGTACTAGGGCTTTGAGTCTGTTGCCTAAAAAACTGTATTTGAAGAACAGTGTACTAAGGAGAGGCAAAAGTATCTAAAGAGTAGTTCAGCTAAACATTGTGTAATACTTGTCATCAGAAGAATTGCACAGAGCAGAAAATGCAGAAACCTTTTTATTATGCCTAGATCATAAGCTCTCAGTGGAGACCAAGCACTTCCTATATCAACTGCAGAATCCTTTCCACTCAAACGTTGGAAAGAATTTGCTTTCACTATTTGTATGTTGACTTTGTGGGGCTGTAGGACCAATGGCCTTATTAAAAACAAACAAACAAAACAAACTGAATTTTTTGATCAATAATATAAACCAATATTTTTTTTAAAATCTTAAAAGGTAACTTCTTCAAATCAGTTTATCAGAATATTTAATAAAATAATTCATTTAAGCCTATGTACAAGCCTTACCTACATTATAAAGCTAAATACAGTTTATTCACATTGCAATAAAACCATTTGCAAAACAGCACATTTTTTGCTTAAGCACACTTCAAGAGTGCTTTCGTGCCTTTGTTTTTTTATTCACAAATGTGTTTGGCTTTTCAAATCAGAATGAAACACAGAATGCCCTCACTTCCCATAATCCACCACCAAAAGTGTGAAGGCATTTTCTATAACTAAATTAAAAACTGGTAAGGGGCTTGCTTGGGGGTAGCATGATGAGTCCTGCGTTTCAGAGTGGATTACAAAAAACTATTAGAGCTCTGTGTTGAGGCTTTTACTTTTACAGAATGGTTGGTGTTCTATAAGAAGCATGTACTATAAAAATATAAAGGAGAAAACAAGAGGAATATGAAGTGACATTAAAGTAAATTTTGTCCGCAAGTAACCAACATATACTCTATATTGTGTTTGTGATTTCTTCAGGCCTCAGTTGTGTTTGTTTTTGTGTAGCTTAATGAATTGTTGTGGATCAGCTGAGCTGTGTTAATGATCCATATGCATATTCTTGACCTGTTGAAATATAAGCTAAAATCTTACTTGAAGTTTTAAATCAGTGTTGCATTTTTATATAAAGTTCTAGATTGACTTTCAAACTGGATTTGTTAACTGTTTTAACATGGGAAAGAACATTTTTTAAAGTAACTAAAAATGAACTTCATTCTATTGTAAAAATAACTTTATACATCATGTAAGCTCATACAAGTTTGTAGGTGTTATAAAAGATAATGTCCAAGGTTTGCAGGCTCTTGTTTTTGTATGTGGAGCTCTTATTAAAATGCTGTTTTGAATTTGATCCTTTGATCCTAGTCTTTTGTCATACTGCTGCTCTCTTCTGTAGTATAGAAAAGCAAATACAGCAAATAAACTTGTAGGCCCTTAAGTAGGGAATGGTGTCATTTGCAGGTTAAAACTTGCGATGTTCAGAGTGGTATCAATGTAAAACAGATATTAATGTTTATAAGAAAATAAAACCCAACCAAAACCCCAAAGATCTACTGTGTGTCTCTTTTACTGGGATTTTTTTGCTATAATTACTTTGTAATTTGTTTCTTGGGTACAGTTTGTCACTGCCTAGTCTTGATTACTAATTTATTTGCATTTCTTTTCTAGGCACTCTGCTTAATAGTGCTGCCATTCATTCCTGCATCAAACCTCTTTTTTCCTGTTGGATTTGTAGTAGCAGAACGAGTGTTGTATGTTCCAAGCATGGGATTCTGCATTTTAGTAGCACACGGATGGAAGAAATTATCAAATAAAAGGTAAGGTAGTGTTACCTATGACTGGTTTAACTCATCTCTCTTAATTTCATAAAAGGTAATCATATTTATAATGGCAAACTTTCCCAGTAGAGCTTTTACCAATGTTAATTTCTTATGTTATAGCTCCTACTCTGTTTCAAATTCTTGATGAACGCAGAGTAATGACCAAGGAACTGTTTGGCAGTTGTGGGAACAAATGACAGCAAGGAAGTTCTTGGGAGATCAGTGGATTATTCTGAGAATATTATAACATTTATTTAAAATATATGTATATATACACACATACATGTATGCACAT